AGTTGAGACGGCGGCGAGGGAAACCAAGTTGTGACGGCGGCGTGGGATACCAAGTTGAGACTGCGGCGTGGGATACCAAGTTGAGACGGCGGCGTGGGATGCCAAGTGGGGACGGCGGCGTGGGATCCCCTTCTAGACGGCAGCGTGGGAACTTCATCGATGGACTTCAAAAATTTCTCATATTGGCACTGCCTGTTTTACCCAGCTTTGTTGGTTCCTTGCTAAAACTCTGATGCACTTGGAAATAGTAGTCAACCGACAATTTTTCTTATCCACATTTCGCTAACAAAAATTACGATTAGGCAGAGTTGAGTTTAGTTTTTTTTTTACTTAATTCCTTCGAATTTAGAATGCTGATAAACTAGGAAATATTTATTGCAAAATGTACAAGACCTTAAAAGCTGGCTAGATGCTGAAAAGCTTCGTATATAAATTTAAAGAAGGGGGGACCAATATAAGCACCATAAAAGCAAATTGTGTAGAATTTTGTAGGCAGGTTTTTATTGATTTTAATTTTGTGTTTGTTTTATTAAAATAAATGTAATGTTTTTCGAAAAAATGAATTATAAAATGTTTTAAATAATTACGGAATAAACAGGATACTTACACTTGTAATTTGAAAAAAAAAGAAATCGTGTTTAATAATTTGCGTTGGGTGACTTCAAGGGTTATAAAGATAACGATCATTACTATGCTGATAAAACTAGAAAATATTTTATTTTAAATGTTACAAGCACAACACCTTAAAAGCTTCGAATATAAATTTTAAAAAGGGGGACCCAATATAAGCACCATAAGAGCAAATTGTGTAGAATTTGTAGGCAGATTTCTATTTTTATTTTGTGTTTTTGTTTTCTTAAAATAAATGTAAATGTTTTTTAGAAAAAATGAATTAAAAATGTTTTAATAATTGCGGAATAAACAGGATATATACACTTTCAGTTAAAAAAATCGTGTTTAATTTATTTCGTTGGGTGACTACAAGAGGGTTGGTTGTAAGGGTATGCATGTTGGTAAGTGAAATCCTTTTAGTTGTGGACAAGATGCATTAAAAAGCATTGTAGCTCATTCAAGTAGCGATATGGGTTGTACTCGAGCTTCAATAAATGCGGCAGTGTCACCCTTTTATGAAGAACCATCTCCCTGCAGGCGAAAATACCGGCGACTGCATCACACGTTCCGGGAGCAAAAATTTGACAATCGGTTGCTCATCACCAGCAAAGCAAGGGTGCGTTCAGAAATGCATCAAGCCAAAGCATCAGTATCTTTTATTTCTAAACTACAATTGATGGAAATATCTTATTTACGCAACTAAGTTCCGATTCGGCTTATATCCATTGTTGCGCATATTCGACATTCCTATCAATTATAGTTTAGAAATAAAATAGCCTGATGCTTTGGCTTGATGCATTTCTGAACAGGTGTGGTGGTATTTGCCTAGACATTTGTTGCACTTTCCACGCTTGGCGGATTGTTGGTTTGCGCCAATGACATAAGAAATATTGTACACGTTTATTTGTGCTGGCTCCAGTGCTCTGCGTTTGTTCAACGGGAAATTATTCCTCCCAAAACCCAATGAAAATTTAAAGTTTCTCTGTTATATGAGAATAGAGTGCTTTGTGACCCTTAGGTCCAATTGGTAACAATAGCCAATAAATGTTTCAATTACAATGTAAAATTCCATGGTAGAAAATATTAGCTTTTTAGCAGAAAAATAAAGTAAACAAGTAAGAAAGTCTAAGTTCGGGCGGAGCCGAACATTAAATACCCGGCGCAAGTAATAAATATGTGTTTTTTTCACCTTTCCGAAAGCTACCGCTAGATGGTAAACCGGGGTGTACCAATTTTGAGTAGCGTCCTTAAATTTCGAAATATTGCAGTTTCAAGCATTTCTGAAATTTACCGTTATGTGAAAAGCGGCCGTAATTTTAGCCTGAATTCAATAATTTTCAATAATTGGCTTTTATGTGGCAAGAACAATAACCGTACCGAGTTTGGTACAAATTGGTATAACGGTTACCGATATACTTATATGTTATCATAAGTGGGCGGTGCCACGCCCATTTTCCAAAATTTTACCATAAGCATATTTCTTGATAAAGAATTGTTGCAAGCATCAATTTTGAATAAATTAGCGTTAATAGTTACTGATTTATCGAAGATTTTGTATTTCTCTAAATTACCGTTATATGGGATGTGGGCGTGGTTATTGTCCGATTTTTTAAATTTTCGGCCATTTAGTATGCTGTATCAAGGCCAACAACTGTGCCAAGTTTGGAAGAAATTGGTGTAGCGGTTACCAAGATATACACATGTAACCATAAGTGGGCGTGGCTACGCCCATTTTCCAAAAATTTATAATATTCTTATTTTTCGTCTGAAAATTATTACAAATATCAATTTTGAGTGAATTATCTTCAGTAGTTACTAAAATATCGCAGTTTTCGTATTTCTGGAAATTACCGTTATATGAGAAGTGGGCGTGGTTACTGTCCGATTTCGCCCATTTTCAATACCAACCTACCTTGGATTCATTCTGAGAATATATGTATACATTTGTCTATATCTATCTCGATTCGTTTTGGCTGTTACAAACAACCGTTATGTGAACAAAATTAATATACCCTTGTGCACAAGTGCGCTCGGGTATAAAAAATGGATTGATCGGCGAGTGAGAAAATCGGATTCAAAATTTAAGAAGGGTCCATTTTGACCCTAAGGACTAATTCGGGTTAAGTTTACTTGTTTCGACATTTTTTTTTGTGATTTCAGAACTTGAGATTTTCACTACTGTGCTATTTTCAATTTCGATTTTTCAAAAATTTTTGGCACTTCGAATCAATTGTGCGGGCTAAAGATATGTAGTATGTGTGTACATTAGACTGCCCCCAAAAAACCAAAGCTGTTCTTATTAACGCTTACCTTTACAGTTTATAGGTTTCGTCTTAAAAATTATCTGTTTAAAATTTGATTTGGTACACGGCAACCCATGCGTATCAATTGAAGGTAGAATTCGAAACAATATTAATTATAACTTTTGTTTTCAATTATCATTTATAAATATAAAGGGTATACATATGAAAATTTGCAAACAAATTTTTTTTCCATATATTCTTGGTAAATAAAAAAATAAATAAATACATACATACAGTTACTCATAGAAGTATTCGTTGTCTAGTTTTTTTCACGATATTCAAAATGTCTTGCATTATAAATGTTTTTCGATAATTTTTATTTAAAATATAGCTGTGTACAACCAAAATATCGGGGGAAAAAAACAAAATTAATACTTCTGTGGGTAACTGTATGTATGTATAAATTAAGTGCCGTTTTCTCATGTAGGTTTTAGAATTAACCTGCACTTTAAACAGATTTTTTTCTGAAAAAAATTTTTTTTGTGGGCTATGGGCAGATAAATTTTAAAACCTACTTGAGAAAACGACCCTAAGTCTTTTAAAGATAGTCGTTATCGATGCTAGAACAATTCTGAGATGAGTTCATTTTCTTAGTACGTACATATACATTTATTTAATAATTCCGTAATGGACAATATAAATAAATCCAATAAATTCTATGCGTGCTTAAATAATCAATAAAATAAATTGGCATAAGGGTTCGAATTGTTAATAGGCCGCGCTTGTGATTGCTGTTGTCCATTTGCGTAGCTCCAGCCAGCTTGTGATGAATTAGAGCTCCACGAACTTCCGCCAGCCAGTGGTGCTAGTGGCGTACCGTAACTGGAACTAGCACCATAACTACCAGGAGGTAATTGGCCTCCGTTTCCCACGGATGCAAAGCCTGAGTAACCAGAGTATGAGTTGTTGCGAGCAGCAGCTGTTGGTCCACTGCTAAAAAAGGCGCTTTGATTATTATTTCCAGCTACAAGTGTACTACCCGGGAGAGGTGAATTCCAATTGGCATATGAGTTGACACCACCGCGTCCACTAGTACCATTGCTAGCAACACCGTTCCAGTTTGTATTAATATTCGGTTTAATAGGCGTAGCCCAACCCGCATTGCGTGGAGGTGTTGATGTATTAGCAGGAGAATACCAATTGCCAGCATTCTGTCCACCTGTTGTAGAATTATAGGCGGCGGGACGCCCAATATTCCAAGTACCGGCTGTTGAGGGATTTCTTTGCCAGCCATTGTTTCCGAAGGGCTGATGCGTTGTAGGAACATTTTGTGTTGACGAGTTATTGCCAACAGGTCCCCAGTAATTGGGCTGTGGCGCTCTCCAACCGAATCCATTATTACTAACTGTTGCCAATGAGTTGTTTCGATTCGGTTGTTTAGCTATTGCGAAATTTGGACGATTTCCAAAACCAGGCACTTGGATAAACGGATGTGATTGGTTATTATTTAACCAAACTCTTTCGCCTTCTGATTGATAAGCTGCACCATCCACAAATCGGCGTGTACCATTACCTTGTTGTTGCCATTGCGGTTGTTGTTGCTGTTGTGGTTTTTCCGGAGCACTATTATTTGCTAGGAGCCAGCTCCAGCCACCATTAGATTGCCAATTAGATTGCTGATTTTTCGTTGATGATCGCGTCGTCTGAAATTTTTGCTGCCAATGATTATTGTAGGTAGTGGCATTTGGACGTGCAGGAGACCAACCGCGGCCAGCTTGCGGCAGACTGTTTATTTGCTGAACCAAGCAAACGCTTAAGAATCCTAGGGGAAATGAAAAGTGTAAAATTTTTTATAGCTCTTGATATCGGAGTTTGTGAAGATGTTTGCGATGCAAGGACCGAACATAACAGTTATTGATGAAAATTGTCATGGAAAAGTTCACTATGAAGAAAATGTTCTACAACTAAATGATACATACTAATCGATTTCTTTTTTCACCGAGACTCAAATTTTAAAATAATTTTTTATTTGAAATTTTTATGCAATATTAAAACAAATAACAATTATTTTTGATTTCTATATCGTAAATCCAAAATAACAAATATTTTTGATTTTTATATTATATGTCTTAGATAACAGTTATTGAAGACTTTTATTTACAAAAGTCCTCAATAAAAATCAGTCAGTGACTTTTACTTTTACAAGTTATCAATATAAATCTGTCATCGATTTTCATTTTTTAAATCATTCGTATAAAAGTCATTATTATTTTTCGCAATTAAGAAGGTGTTGGGAAAGAAAAGTTTACTACGACTTACACATATTACCTTTATAAGTATGATATCAAAAATAAAGGTCAGTGACTGATTTATGTTTATGACTTTTACAAATAAAAGTCTTCGATAACTGCTATCTAACACATATAACTTAAAAATCAAAAATAACTGTTATTTGCAGATTATTTAGATAAAAATCAAAAATAATTATTATTTTGGATTTATAAAATAAAAGTCAGAAATAACGGTTACTTTAGAACTAGTTAAATAAAAGTAAAATAATAATTGTTAAACAGCGATTGTTTTAATAAAAGTTACGGTACCTGTTGCGATGTGTTATATTCCGAAAGTGGATTCTATGAACATATTTGTAAATATGTACATTAAGGTGAGCCAATTTGTATGTGTATGCGTAATTCCAAGCAAATTTTCCGAAGAAACCATGGGTCTAAAATCAATTTTGAATTTTCCGAACTGCGAAAATAGGTTTCTTACCATTTTGCTGTAGTGTTATAAAGAGGTGCTTAAATTTGGTATAAAAACATGCTATAAGAGTTTTTTGGTATAAGAATCCATCTCTGCACTTTTATTTTCTATGTTTTCTTCGAAACCTATTTTCGCAATTTGGCAACTCCAAATTGATTTTATACCCAAGGTTTCTTCGGAAATTTTGCTTAGAATTATATGCAGGATCCTCCTATGCTATACGCGCATAGTCAGAAAATTTGACCCGCCTTAATGTATATATGTACATTAGAGTGCATCACCAAAAAAAATTTGCAGGTTTTCCACCGGAATTAAAAAAAATGTATTATACTTTAAGACTTCCGTCAAAATATTTAGGAAAAAGGTTAAAATTTACGTGAGCTAGACTGATATGAAAAAAAAAATCAAAAAAATATTTTTATTTTGATTCCGGTGATAAAATTTTCCGACAATTTGACGCATACCTTTTAAATTTAAACTCTTGCACTATCTGGAACCGATTTGAAAAAAAAAAATCTGAACATATTTTTATTTTGATTCCGGTGGTGAAATTTTCCAACATTTTGACGAAGACCTTTTAAGTTTAAACTCTTCCACTATCTGAGGTGAATAAAAAAATATATTTTTAAAAATAATTTTATTTATAGAATACTTGAGTTTTGGAGACAGTTTCAAAAAGGTTCTGTCTTAAAAATGATACATTTTATAACTCCGTTGAAAAAAAAGTATTGTTTTTTTTTGTATTGAGAGTGAAGCACTCTAGTGTACATACATATATCTATTATTTTGATTTTGTATGTTTATTACTTTCACTGGACATTCCTCTTTCCCTACAACGGTCAATGCGAAAATATTCTTCTGCCAGCGCTTCTACAGCTCCAACGAATTAAAATCTTAACGAACACACACACACAGTGCTAGACCGGTCGAATAAGTTGGATAGTCCAACACTGTCTCGAAATAAAATTTGGTAGGCCTGAGGGTAGTTCGCTCTAAAACACATCCTACTTCTAACCTGCCGGAAGCACTAATAAACAAAGGCGACCAACTACGAGAAAAAACTAAAGTCAGAAGAAATGCATCAATGCGTTTGGCCTTCCTATCACTTCTAACTCTGCTAAACTACGACTACTAAGCTATGATAAATTGAATGAAATAATAAAAAAATCCCTTTTTTGGATCTGATTTTAAAATATTTCACTAAATAATGCTAATGTTTTCACTTAACTAATTTTATTAAATTTTATATTTACCCACAAAAATTATTATATTCCTTGAATGCTTCATTTTTGTTAACTTTCTAGAATTTCGTTAAAAAAAAATATAACGTTCTCTCACAAAACACAAACTCAATTCTATTGCGTACGGGATGCAGTTAATTACTAAAAAGTAAGTGGCCGAGTCTTTTTTATTTTTGATAATTTTTTAGAAGGCAATGTGTTTACACACGTACTAGTAGTATCTATGCATTCCAGAACCCTGCCGGAAAATCCATTAGTACGAATTAACGAATTCCAGAACCTTGCAAAAATATAGTAAATTCGTTAAAAAAATTAGTTACCGGTTTATAGAGCTAAGTAAAAATCACTACCGCAATAGAGTTACTGAGCTTTATTCCACTATTTCTTTGTAGGAAAAATGGATATAACCAACCCACACATCAAGTTTAAATAGCAGCAAACATCGTGCGACAGTAAATTTTATAAAAAAACTGCGTATTCAGTTTACCACTCTGGTGTCGGAATTTTTAAAATTCCAAAAATATGTTAAATTTTAAATTTTTTGTAAAAATTGTGGGTTTCAAATAAAAGAGAAAATTCTGTAGCATTAAAAAGATTAAATTCTTTGGTGCAAAAGGACGAATGGGTATGGGAAATATCCTTCCAAAACTTCGTCCTTGAATCTTATTGAAAATTTGCAATATTTATTTTTGAAGGACTAGTTTACACGTGAAAACATCCTCGAATTTATTAGTTAAAAAAAAAAAAAATAAAATTAATTAAAAGCGCATTTTCAATACTTATTCATCCTTGTAAACCAAAAAACTATAATGAATTTATATTCTACATCTATTTGCTATCTGGTTGCAGAACCTCCCTAATGACTTCAAACTAATGGTTAAAGGGGTAATATCTCTTTTAAGGTTTGAGCAAAAACGAGTTAAAATGTCCCACTCGTCGCGTTGGAATGCCCCTTATGTATGTACGTACCTACATTTATTGGGGGCCACCAATTCCCATACCTACAAAAAAAATTTACACTGTTTTTCTATCAAAATAAAAAAAATATATATATCCGTCAAAATATTCCAAAAAATATCAAGATTTACGTAAGAATTATTTTTTTGAAAATAACTTAAGAATCTAATTTTGTTGATTCCGTTGATTAAATTTTTGAAAAATTTGTATGCAGCCTCTTTAAACTTAAACTCTTCCACCATTTGGGGGAAGTTTTTGGTAAAAATATTTTTCAAAACTAATTTTATCTATAAATAACTCGATTACTTGTATGTCCAGCTCATCATTCTATTATGATTGGTGAGAAATTTGACTCCAGAAATTGTGAATTATAACTAATTATAATTATAACGTCATTCTATACTCCTCATTACCAATTGTTTCAGAAATTGTTACAGAAACGAGCTACAGATTTTTTTGTGATCGACCCTTTGTTCACATAGTCTACACTATAAGCTACATGTCCGAAATTTCGCCGGTCTTATAACGGTAATAAAACTTTGGCTTCTCGTAAGCTCTTCTCCTTAGTAAACTCGAACATCCTGCTCTAGTAAAACACGTTGACCAAAAAAAAACGTTTTTTTTTTATTAAAAGCACGTCTCAATAGCACAGAGTTTCCCTGCAGGGTAGTCATAAGTAATTTTAAAATGTTTGCTGGTTCCTTATCTCTCAGTGTCGCCTGTCATTTCTGTTTTATAATTACACCGTGCAACAAAAACAAAAAGATTTTGAAACACATGAAGCAATCAATATACTCAAGAAACTGTGGGCCAAATATAGTAAAACTGCGTTTTTAGTTTTTCTCTCTTACGTCAGGATTTTGGTTACAAGGACTTTGTAGTTTCAAAGATATGCTAAATTGCATAAAACAAAGTTTATATTTCTTCCATTCATTCCAATGTAGAGAAACAGTATGGGCACTAAATGAAAGAGAAAATTCTGTGGAATTAAAAAACAAATAAAATTGTTTTGGTCCACAAGGACGAATAGGTATTGTAAATGTCCTTTTAATTAGTTTTCTTTTTTTAAGCGAATAAAGTTAGAATGACGAAATTCTAGGATGTGGTCGAGTGCATATAAGTCCTTAATATATAATTTTTTCGAATATAATTATTGTAAAATTTGAAGGATATTCAATGATACAATGTGAAAAAGACATTTTCAATACCTAATCGTCCTGGATTGCTTTAATAATTTTTTAAAGTATGTAATTATATTTTTAAAATTTGAAAGTCCTTCAAAAAAAAATCCTGATGTCAGAGAGTAAAACTAAAAACGAAGTTTTACTATATTTGGCTCATGGTTTCGCGAATATATAAATTTTTGTGCGTAAAATTGACTGTCGCACGGTGTTATATATGTATGTATGTAAGTTATTTTTGTGGATGCTCAACAGTATTTATGTTGAAGTAAAACGTGTGTGTACTACATATTTGCCCATCCAAAGTATATTTTTTCGAACGCCCTGCTCCAACAGTCCCACGGAGCACAACAAGTATAAAAACATACATAAATAAGTAATTAAAAAAAAACCTTAATTCTGAAGGGTTTTCTTTCATTTCAGTAAAATCTAAAGCTTAATGTTATTTCCGGAAGTCAACTTAATCTCGTATCTCACAGTTTTTTTATTAATAAAATAAATATTTTTATTGTTTATTCTATGTGTCACAACCATGTTTTCGTGGAACGCTTAATTCTTTAGAGGATTATTTATTCAAGTTTTGTGGGTAAATATTAAGCATACATGTGTACATGTATATGACCGTTGAGAAATACTCATAAATAATATTAAGCATTTGAGCTTAACAAACAGATGATGGAGAAATTTAATCATGACAAATGCAAAAATGGGCGTATTATATACTAAAAGTTTTTAGCACTGTCAGACATGGTATGTGATTATATTTCCACAATAATATATTATACGAATGTAGATATACATACATATATGTACTTAAATGGACTCCAAAGTTGCAAGCTGCTGTGCTTACCAATGCGAACTGCGCTAGCATAAAGGCAGAAAGTCAAGCGATAAAGTTTTACCCATTTAGATTGATGATCTCTGATCGGTTAGAAGTGCTAATACTCAGGATATTAATAGAACTTTTTGTAGATATACATATATTTTTACGGTGTAGAGATTATTTGTCTTCGGTGACAGCTATGAAAATTTTCTGGAGAATATTTTTATGAAAGGTATAATATAATCCTTGACTTCCAAAAAAATGCCAAAAATTACCCATAGAGGTGGAGAAAATGTGAAAATTCGTTATATGGAAGAAAATGCACAACACCGTCAACAAACAAAAATTCCTGACGATCAACGGTGTTTTGTAGTAGCTACTTCAACTTGCACTTATTATCCGAGAATGGAATGGTATATACATAGTTAAAACTACATACCTAAAAGTGTTTTATCGGACTTGATTTTTACTATATAGATAAAACTATCATTTCCTCTCTCAATAATTGAAATACTTTAATCTTTAGCATATCCAATCAGCTGATGAATTTGATGCTGTAGCTCAATAGTTTTAGATCTCGACAATTAACAAACTCCTCCCTACAAGAAAAGGTCTTTTTTTCTGACCTCTTCTCTAACACACTAAAATATACACCAATACACAGAAAAACATTTGTAAAAATAACCTTAGGAAATACAATAAGTAGAAAAGAGATCTTTTAGCACTGCTGGTAAAACCGCCATGTGAGAAAGGGACGCATGTACACAAAAGAATCGGTCAGGTTTTTCATATTACCCCCGAAATTCTGATGAGGAAATTGCAGCATTATTGCATCAGCACTGACCGTCAGGTGACCGGTCATTTGCCAGTTTTCATTTCATTTCATTTCTTGTAGGGCTGTTTCCAAGGCTCGGCCCCAAAAAAAAATTAAACGGCGCCTGGGTCCTACTGGAGAAGTGAAACTTACGTTACTTATCTATTTTGTCTCATAACCAATGTATACATACGCACATTTGCTTTTGCTTAAGGTTATATTTTATATCTTTTTTCTATCTAGATCCCCACCTCTACCTCTGCTCGTTTTAATAACATTCATGTTATTCTGTTTTTCCATTATCTTCATTTTTATCTTTATACTCTATCGATAACAAAATCGATGACAAATTCGATAAAATTTTCACTGGTAGCAAAATCGATTAGAAAATCGATAAAAATATCGAAAAAATCGATAAATACCAGTTTGCACCTACAGGCCAAGCGCTTTAATTTGCCATCCCATTTTTGAAAATCGAGCGAACTGTGTAGATCTTTTATCCTGAACAAAAAATGCATTCGCGTATTATATTTGTATATAGATATGAATCTAGGTCATAACCTCTCTGTTTGTCAAATTTTATTGCAATACGTCCAGCTGTTTTAACGTCAAGGACCCACAAATATACTCACACAATCACTTACAAACATTCACATTTATAATATTAGTAGGAATTATCGATAGGTCCGCTGTATCGAGTAATTAGAGGTGCGCACTACCGTTCGGTAGGTCCAAGCTTCGATCCCTAGACCGGCCAACATTTAAATAAGTTTTTTTTTTCTAATAGCGGTCGCACCTTGGCAGGCAATGCCAAGCCTTCTAACTATTATATTTCTGCCATTAAAGAAGCTTCTCTTTAAAACCATTTGCCGTTCGGAGGCGCCCAAAAAACTGTAGGTATACATATATGTAGGTGCCTCTCCTTTGTGTGTGACAACATCAAGGCGCACATTACAAATCGGCGGAGAATCTCGGCACTAGCAAAACTGCAAGCGCTAAATATTTATTTATTTATATACGCGATAAATTTTATAGTTGCAAACAAAAGAACGCGTAATTTTTTCTGTCGCAGATTTTTTTTATTCTCTTAATTTTTATTTGTTTATTTTGTGCATATGTTTTGTTGACATGCAATGCATATGTATGTGTGTAGACAAGATGAACATAACTAGTTTAACGAACTCCGGAACCGGCACGAGCAAAATATCAATTAATATCTTGGTATTTTCGTGTTTTTGTTGCAACAGCAATGAAAAAAACAGGTATCACAATGTTTATTGACTATGGGCTAGCATACATAACAACAAGAAATACATACATACATAAATTTTTTTATTTTTAAAAAGTCTTAACTACATTTAATATTTATTTATATGTTACATGCGTTCATTAAATTTGCCGGCAAAAATTATACAGTAAAATCAGTTCGTTTGTCACAACCTTGCATATTTACATAAATACAAAAAAAAGTAATAAATTCATATATATGTACGTATTTTAGTAGGTAACTATACAACAAAAATTTATGTTTATAAATATGTAGATACAATTACTAAGTAAGTATTATCCGCGTTGCATGGGGAATAGACCTTGGCAGGCGCCGCGACGCACGATCTGGATGTCTGCAAAGATGAAAAAAAAAATGAGTAAAACATACTTAAGACGACGAAACGTACGTGATTTAATGTAAGCAATTTTTTTTAACGACTTTGTGTGTAAGTGAATTATTCAAGGCAAAGGTGGAATATTTTTTGGCGAAGAAGGCCGTGTCAGCAATGACCTTAGGCAGTTCACTATGATAAGGTAATACATACCAAAGATTCATTAAATAAACCAGTTGCTGTAACAAGATGCTTTATTTTGAATTACTAAAAACTATGAATTTTATAAATGGTGTATCCTATGTGCATATTTTTATCTTACAATAATAATACGCACGCAAGTTCCAAAATTATGTACGTGTATCGACTGGATCTTCTACAGCGATTAGCATCTTAAATTGTGCTCTTCGCTGAGCTGATTGGGCAAAAAGTTTTATAGATTTTGGACATTAGTATGCATGATTGGGCAAAACGTTGTATAGATTTTGGACATTAGTGTGCATCACTCTCTATACAAAAAAAAAAATATTATAGTTTTTCCATCGGAATTATACAGAAAATTATATGCATTTTAAGACTTACGTCAAAATATTTCGGAAAAATTTTAAGATTTAAGTAAGCTAGATCCATGTATAGTAGCACCAAAAATTTCATTATTTTGATTCAGCTGGTAAAATTTTTAAATTTTATGCGGAACTTTTAATCTCTAACTCCTCTTTCATCATATGTAATTTATTAGGAAAAAGTATTTTTAAAACTAATTTTATTTGTTAAAAATGAAACTTTTGGAGGTAACACTTGTCCGAAATTTTTTGGCGGAAGTTTTATAATATCATAAATTTTATAATGCCGGTGGAAAAACAGCAACTTTTTTTTGGCGAGGCACTCTAATGTACATCTTTAAGTATGCATGTACGAAATGAATTTTTAAAAATTTTCTCTTGATTTTGGAAATTTCAACGCGAAGCTTAGTTACTTTCTCTTTCTGATTGGCTGAAGCAGAAGGCTTTCTGATACAACTCTGCACCAAACTGGTTTTCAAACGAATTAAATTATTTAACTGGTTAAATTTTCCAGCAACAATTGCATGCGATTTAACTTGTTTATAAACACGTGTTGTTCATTTAACTGTTTCAAGCCCATTTATCATGTTTAACTTGTCAATTTGAACGTAGTATTAATAAGGTAAATGGTTAAAAATTACCGTTAATTTTTAGATTATTAAATTGTATTTATTCGTTAATGTAGCAAATATCCCAAATTTCTAAAAAATCAACGGTTTGAAACATGGATTTACAAGGGTTTTGTTTGCGGCTATAATTTTTCCGACCACTGTATGTGTTTTCATTAGACCGTACCAGATAAAAACTTCGCCCTATACCTTCGAATACAAAATATTTTTGCAAGATAATTTCGAAAAAAAAATTTTGTTTAAAATTTCGTCGAGAAGAGCATTTTCTTATTCTAAAATGCATTGTCTTCAAGCATCGCATTCTAGTACTTACCCACCAGATCTCAACTCTTATCTCCCTCATGCACCACCCTATTGTCACTAAATTAAAGCTCACCAAAAATTATCAAACTTTTGCTAAGAAAGTAATTTGATTACTCTATTTGAACTATTTAAAAAAAATTTATTGCCGAAGCTAGGTGTCACCAAAAAAATGTTAAAAGGCGCAACCTAGGCTCGGCTAAACATCTTGTCTGGTAAAAATATTTCAGACACACGAATGCACGGCGAACTTTTTTTCTTTGGTTGCTTGTAAGGTGGTACGATCTAATGTACATACATACGTTTGCAGTATTTATAACTGACTCACCTGCACCACACCGTCTCGCACAATCAAACTTCTGCGGATTCTGATATTGCTGCCGATTACTAGCACATATAGGATTATATTCCGACGTGGTAGGACAGCTGCCGAAGCACCTTAAAAACGCTGGCGAAGCTGTGGTAGCTGCAATAAATGGTGCCATAGTAGCAATAACGGGCTGATTATTTACGAAAACTACATTCGAATTAGCGACGCTAGATGACAATTGTGTTGTTGTTGTTGCTGTTGTTGATGGTGGTGTTGTTTGCGTTGTAGTTCCAGATTTTTGTTGTCCATCATTACTAAATATCAGCGGTTGGCCAGGAGCTGGACGTCGTTCCCATTGCGGGCGAGTGAAAGTGTTTGGTTCAAAATCATCATCTGCTGGTGTAAAGAATGGATTACCAATCATATCAAACTCATTCGAGAAAATTTGTCGCTTCAGACGCTGCTGTGAGGTATTGGCTATTCGATGCTTTTGTTGTAGCGGTGGGGCAGCATACGCCATGGTGACCAATAAAACGAGTAGTACTAAGAAAATGAAGTGAATTTGAAATAAGTAGCTACAGATACTTATTAATATTCATAGTGGTTAACACCTGTGCAACTGTAGCAGGTGCTCGTCATTTTGTTGGCATCTGTTTGTTTTTTTTTTTTTTGTTGTGTGATGTTAACACGCCGATATGCGAAACTCAATTGATTTCTAGCTTAGCTCTCCACTAGGTATAAGTAATCTGTAGTAGCACTAGTAGATTGAAGAGTAGATCGGAAAACACAAAAAAAAAGAAATACCCCGAGCGCGATTTGTATCGTTAAAAACAAGTTAAGAGACATTTATTATTTATGCAAATGTTTACGTTGTTCTCTTTTAAACTCATGCCATATTCACGTCAATTACAACAACAAATCTCAAAACTTGAACTTGACTCAGCAGCAGCAATCAAAGATCCGTCAATTTTAGAGCGGCAAACTACGCTCATTAAGATGTTAACATTACCATTGCCCTTTTACATATGTATGTATATTTCTAATATTGGCAGCAATTAATATAGTAATTTTAAGAGGCATCAGCAAAAAATTAATAACTCACTTCTTATTAAAATAAATTGTAAAAATTAAGTAATTAATATTTTAATTAGCATACGATATCCTAAACACATGCCTTATTAGTTGAAAAAATCATATTTTTCTGTTAATTGCATTTTTTGACTTCACAAAGAGGGGAAGGTTATCAATTCGCCGGAATATTTTTTATTTTATTTTTTATGTAAAAAAAATAAATAAATATTTTTTATGTATGTTACCGCATTACATTGGACCACGTTAACCGATTTCTATAATTATTTTTTTAAAGGGAAGGTGTTACCTCACATGTGGTCCCATTCTAATTTGGTTTCAATCCGATCATGGAATCATGAACAGATTAACAATAATCTAAAATTTTTATATGAGAATTGAAGTCGGTTTTGTTTTTTGCTTAAAAATTACTTGTTTGTGGCTAATTTTGGTAGAAATTTGTGATTCCCAAAGAAAATTAGATCAAATGCGTAAAGCTCCACCCAGAATTGCAGCGAACGACGGTTAAGCGCTGTCAAATTTAAAACTCACAAAGGCATATGGAATGGCTCATAATTGCGGAGGCAGCAGTTTTACCGCCGACATTTTTCGGTTGATTTAAATTTATTTCTAATTTTACCGCCCAGCGGGGCGGCACAATATTGATTGAGTGTTGATTGTAGTAATTTTTATTATTTTCACAAGTTTGGCAATGTTTTCATCCGTTTTTATTTTCAGAAAATTCACACACATGTTTGTACCGAAACAATAGCACTCTGGCAAAAGAGCAGATGAGCTCAAGCAACGACAGTTGTCAACAATAATATTTCATTTTAATGATAATTTTCAAATCACAATGATAACTGTCGCGCGCTGCAATCGTGCTTACTCTGACGGATTTCACTGCGTCACTACCGTCATCCGCTGCAATTCTGGGTAGAGCTTTAAGAATGAGTTAATCTTATAACGCATTATTAAAAGGGGATTTTTATCGGCACGTACATAGATATATATATAGATAGTTACGCAGTACTGTCCATTAGGCTGGGTATCGAAAAAATGTCGCTGGCTCATAGAAAATAAGGATAAATAGATATACTAAATTGATAAAAGCGAAGTCTTTACCGATGTCGTCTTTCAGAATAACTTCCTATCCCCTTTTCGGCCATGATATGTTACCGTAATCTACCTTCTTCTTCCCACTCTTTTTTGTCGGTATAACCGCCTAAGCGATTTTGGCGTAGGTTCGAATTTCTTCTGTGCCAAAAGAAGTTAATTAGAAATGCCTAATGGAGTCAAGTCTTTCTCTTCGAAGTCTTTCCGTCGCAGAAGAGACCACTTTCTTCCACCAGCTGAAACTGCGATGAACAGTTTAAAGGCTGGGAGTTATTGTGTACATTCGTTCGACATAGCATGGAAAACTAGAAAACCAGCTGTGTTTTTATACATAAGCTGATCTGCCTTCTTCGTCGAAAACAGCACAATTGACGAAATGTAATCCGAGTACTGTTTTTATACCCGAGCGCACTTGTGCACAAGGGTATTATAACTTTGTTCACATAATGGTTGTTTGTAACAGGCAAAACGAATCGAGATAGATATAGACAAATGTATACATAAATGATTAGAATGAAAAGAGAAATCGATTAAGCGGTGACTGTCTGTCCGTCCGTCCGTCCGTCCGTCCGTCCGTCCGTCCGTCTGTGCACACGATAACTCGAGTAAAAATTGAGATATCTTAACGAAACTTGGTACGTGAACTTCTTTTGGGCGTGGGGCGGATGGTATTGAAAATGGGCGAAATCGGATAATAACCACGCCTACCTCCCATATAACGGTAATTTTAAGAAATACGAAAACTGCGATATTTTAGTAACTACTGAAGATAATTCACTCAAAATTGATACTTACAATGAGTTTCAGACGGAAAACATGAATATTATAAATTTTTGGAAAATGGGCGTAGCCACGCCCACTTATGGCTACATGTGTATATCTTGGTAACCGCTGCACCAATTTCTTCCAAACTTGGCACAGTTGTTGGCCTTAGTACAGCATACTAAATGGCTGAAAATTTTAAAAATCGCAGAATAACCACGCCTACCTCCCACATAACGGTAATTTTCAGAAAAACGAAAACTGCGATATTTTAGTAACTACTGAAGATAATTCACTCCATTACCAACGTGCAAATAACCTTCTGCAGAATCTTTATTTCAAATTCTCCGAGACAGTTGCCTCATCGGATATTACCATTGCACTTGTTCATCTCCATGCCCACTCACTTGGGTTCCATATCCAACTATAATAAAGGCAGAATAGACGATGCGTTTGCTGAGGCCGATGATTTAGATGACAATAATTTTACGCTGTCCGTAAGAAAATTAGTTATACAACTTCTAGTTATTATCTTCTCCTTCATCAGGTAACCCTCCAAAAATATTTTTAACTGTTAAAAACTGTATGATATCTTTATAACCAAGGAACGGATTTTTAGGACCTAAAAACCTATAAAAAGGGCAAAATAAAATAGCGAAATAGGCTGGAAAAGGCACTAGGAATCGCAAAACAGGCAAAAGAGGGTACTAAAAAAGATAAAAACCGATAAATATTTAATAAAATAATACATTTATTGTAGTAATGTTTATTGTACAAGTAAAAAGAGAAAACCTATGGACTACATAGTTTCATTATATGAAAAATTTGTATTGTAAATCTTTGACTATTTTCTTCTTTCGAGTTTTTAACTCACAAAACTTTAATCTCTATAGTTGTAGTAACATTGAACCACAAGATTTATTTTGAAGTTTTCTGGCAGCATTTTCATTAGATTTTCGCGAAGAAAAGCCTGAAAAAATATACTAAACGCGCGCTCGACGTAAGTTGATACCAGTGGTGCCCAATTTAAATATGGAACATTTAAAACTTTCATATTATCAGGAATACGGGCTTGCCCTTGCCCTTTACAATTAAAGGTAGAAAAGGCGAAAAAGGCAAATATCTTAAAAAAGCAACATCAAATGTGTATATGTTACCGGCCAAACCCGATCTTAGGGCAAACTAGTTTTTCTAATATATCCGTCCAATGTGGAAACAAGTTGAAGGGGTGTTCTGCGTAAAAATACTTTGGCCTCTGATTTAGTTTAGCCTAGGCAAAACTAGTTTGTCCTAAGATCGGGTTCGGCAGGAATCAGGCAAAGCAAAAAAAGGCAATTTCCACTTTATTTTCAATGATAACTAGGGCTGTGCGATTAATTGATTACTCAAAATTTTAATTAATCATAAAGTAAATAACTCAGTTATTCGATTAGTTAGAAGTTATGATTACTCAAAAGTTCAGTTACTCGAGTAATCATGATTTTTGATTAACCAAAAACAAAAATATTTGAGTAAAAAAGAAAATAAGCATTTTCCAAAGCAAACTCTTTTAACGAGCAAAATTATTTTTTTTGAGTAATCATATTTCAAGTAACTCGATTAATCATCGTTTTGAGTAATCAAAATCTTGATTACTCGAGTAATTGATTAACCGAACAATTGATTAACCAACTTGCTCGAGTAATCGAATAATCGCACAGCCCTAATGATAACTAATTGAAATTCTCGCTATTTTACCAGCGAAGAATTCTTTTATTTAACATTTAAATGTCCTAGGAAGCAGTCAGATGCCTTTTCCTGCATGTATTTTCAACTACTTTAGAATGAATTTGGCATAAACAACTTGAAAGTCAGTATGTTTTCCTTGAATACGCTTTCGTTCTGCAGATGCTTTTTCAACCGAAATTAAAACTTAAATGATATTTGAACATGGCCATTCTTGGTTGCGACCAATTGTAACAAACATCTTTGCACGCTCAGCTACAGCCAGACATGTAAATGTGCTTGAATTGTGTGCCAGCAGCAAGTCGACTCTCCGACTCTGCATTTAATTTCAACCACTTTAAAATGAATTTGGTTTACACAACTTCAAAGTAACTATGTTTCTTTTGTATTTGTTGAACGTAAGTTGGAATGTATGTGCATACAAGTACATATGTAAATAATTGTTATAAATTTAGGCAATATGTAAAACATGGTATGCTGTTTGAGTCAGACGTGGTCCAGTCATAGTGGCGATTGGTGAAATATGCTTCATCGAGTTTTCCCATTCCTTATAGCCAGAAGGACGTTTTTGCCAACCAATCAAAGCTGCAAAGAGACAAGGAATTTTAAATGGTATACTTGTACGGTATACTGAATAAAAGAAAAATAATGCTAAGCTTAGCGGGTGATGCAGCCTGATGGGCAGATGTGAGCTCAATATACATATGTACATATGTACGTAAATGGAAGTTATTACGCGACACTATGAAGTATTAAGGAAGTTAAGTTTGAAAAACGCTTGATTGAGAGATGAACTTCCATTTTTGGCTCATTAAAGACTGGCCATATTTTCAAGCGTCTAAAATATTTCATAACCACCCTCATTCGCATGAATACGTACAATTTGTAGTTTTTGGTAGTGACACGTCAGCAGCGCATTTGCCATCAATTTTCACGGATTTGCCTTCATTTTTAGCATTCTGCTCTTGCATAGAAGCGTTGTTGACCTCAACAGCTTTTGAAGATGCTGCTTTATTAAATATATTTTCTGTCTTTTGCAAACATTTTAAAATATGTGTTTCACTTCGCTGACGACCACAACGACATTTGGCTACCAATGAGTTGTACATGTCGGGTGAAAGGAAATATGAATCACCTTGACCGGTATATTTGAAGGGGCATAGTTCTGGAAAAACGATGCAATTTCAAATTCATTAGTACATAACTACTTGTATATTGCTTGATATTGTATGTACATTAGGGTGGTCCAAAAACAATAAAGTCGGAATTGTAATGCTCTCACCCCTAAGACAGCTCTAAGTATATCGAATGCATTTTTCGTGGTTTTTATGGGTTCTTGGCGGACCTATAAGTTATAGTTGCGATGAAAAATGGTTAAATAAACAATTGGGTAGTATTATTGGGAGTCTCGTACATATACAGTGTTTTCCGACAGAAAAATATTGATTTTTAAGTATTATATACGGTTTCTATGCAAGGTTGTTTTTTCCCCATATAAAAATACATGGAAAATTTGGGCGCTTTGAGCGACCTCTAAATATTTTTTGATTTCAAAATAAAAAAATGGGAAACAGTTTTTCACGGTATAGAATAATCCTAGGAGCTGAGAGCATACAAATTCCGACTTTACTTTTTCACATGCATTTTTGGACCACCCTAATGCACATACAGTCAGTCAATAAAGTTTTGGTACAGTGAATTTTTTATAATAAAGTAAAATATTTTTTAAATATTTTATTTTTCGCTCATTTTTTATAAAAATATGGTAAATTCTACAACAAAAAACCCAAAAATCAGAGTTCCAAACCTTATGCAAAATTAAAGAAAATTCGGCAAAATTTCATTCAAAAATTGCACTTTTTATTTACGCTCTCTAGAAAGAAGTTGGGTATGCAGTTTTTGAGCCCATTCAATTTTTGTATACAATTTATTTTTTTGTTGAAGGTGTCGCTCATTTTCTCCATATAAAATAATGTTTGATAATTTTTTTATATGGAAAAAATGTGCGACACCTTCAACAAAAAAATTTCCCAAAAATCAACGGTAAGTCCTAGCTTCCTCATACTTGCACTTTATTGTACTAAAATTGAATGGGCTAAAAAACTGCATGCTCAAATTTTTTCTAGAGAGCGTAAATAAAAAGTGCAATATTTGAATGAAATTTTGCAGAATTTTCTTTAATTTCGCACAAGGTTTGAAACTTTCCTTTTTGGGGTTTTTGTTGTAGAATTAACCATATTTTTATAAAAAATTTGCGAAAAATAAAATATTTAAAAAATAGTTGCCCTTATTCTAAAAAACTCGCTGTACCTAAACTTTATTGACTGACTGTACATATAAGTTTGTATGTTCGTGCGATAAAAACAACCTTTTTTTCTAACTGACCACTTCTCTCTCCCACCTTGTTTTCTGAGTACATCTTTCAATTGCTGGTTGACTTCATTTTGGTTATAGAATTTATTCAATTTTTCATCACCAAGTTTGGCCCATTTTTTCTGAAAATTTCGACGCGCCAGCTGCTCTGTCCTCACTGTCTCTTTGCTGTTGTGAGTTGTATTGAAAATGAATCATGAATTAATCATGAAGTAATTATTTTACGAGTATATAAGTATGTACATACTTATTTCATTTAAACTTTTTATTAGCGCGTTACTCACCCAATTCCAAGTTGCTTAGTAGGATCCATAGTTTTTTGTTTGTATTTAGAAAAAGGTTTTCTTAAACGCAATTTTAATCGAAACGCGTTTAAATTTAAGCAATTGTTTGTTTGTTCTATTTTAATTTGTTGTCATGCATTTAGCTGGTTGCACAAGTCACCAACCGTGGATTATTTGGTTACCTTAGTTGCAAGTAGTAGTTGGGATCCGTAGCTTGGTTAATGTTAGTAAATAAATTCAATGTCAACAGTTAAATTGAATTTCAAAAAATATAACACAACAAATCCTTTTCAATGAAGCCAATTTGAAAATGAGAGTCAAGCAAGAAAAATAAATATGTAAATAAATACAAGTTTTGTAAATCAGCAGGAAACTAAGTAGGTGTCCCTAGAGTGGAAACTCTGGACAAATCAATTCAGCTTCCTCTTTTTTGACACTACACACGCGTTTGTCGGTTTGGGCCAAGACCAAAAACTTTGCCATTTGCTTCTTCTTTGCTCAGTTGCGCTAGTTGTTTAACGCAAGAGTCTTTTTTTTTTGTGTCCATTGGATTTGTGGGCGCCATTGCTTTCGTTGTTCATCTATGGCTGCCGAGTAGAAGAATCTTTTCACCATCATACCCATAGCCAATGCAATCGGTTTTACTCGCTTGACTATGTCCATGTCATTATACAGCTCATTCAGATCGTGACACCTTTTTGTACGGTACCCATAGCCCCCGCAAACAGGGCCATCGACCTTTCGTAAAATAGTTCTCTCGAGAGCCTTGCCAACTTTTCGTTAACATCGTCCATGTTTTTCCGCTTTATAAAAGAACGCTCGTGATAAGGGAGTTAGAACGTACGTTTTTTGTTCTTCGAGAGAGACTTTGCTTTTAAATTGCCTTTCGAGCTCAAAGTAGCATTTGTTGGCAAGACTTATTCTCCGCTCGATCTACAGGCTGACATTATTTTATTATGGTGTTTATGCTGGATCTTAAGTATTTACCAACAATAATGTGTGACCCAAATACGTAAAGACTCTTTGTGGATTGCCTGAAAGCATTTTGTCTTTTCTTCGTTAGCCCTTAGACCGGTTACGTTTCTTATGTTTTATGTGTATGTTGCCGTTGCTATTCAAATTGGCAGCTCTTTCACGCATTCCAACATTAGAGAAAAGAATCGAAAGACAATGAGTCGCGGAGGAGGATGACGGAGCTATAAGTTGTGCTCAATGTTACACTCACTACATGGGCGTATTCGTTCCATAGAGGCGCTACGTATGGAGCGCGGCATGTGAGCCTGTTGCTTGCAGGGGTCGGTGTGTTGAGTAATGCTATATTCGAGCAAAAGTGAGAGCTGAATCTATTGGCTGTCTATAGCCGTAGCAATTTTTCAACGTCGAGGTTTCCTCGTGCATTAAAACGTACGTTCTTTGCTTTACAACGGCGTGCGAATATCTTTTCTTAGACACAACATCGCGATCCGAGTTGCTGACATTCTGAAAGCGTGTCTAAAGGTCTATCGCATTATGGTTCATTAGGTATCTGGTTTTCCTATTCGATTACATCCACATAGTCTTGCGAATCTTCTTATGCTGGTACTTGGTGATAAAAACTACCATGTTTCCAAATTGTGTCGGAAGACAAAGCGGTTTCGGCGTTCATTATTCAAACGAAAATTATACTACTACCCTGTCGGAAGAATTGCTAACCAAAAATAATAGAAAGAAAAATATATCATTTTTGTCGCCCAGCTTAGTTGATCGTTCTTTCCTTCCACCGTGACGTGGACACAAATGTTCGAGATGCTGAACGACAGTCGTTGACGGCGAAGTCTCTCTACCACCATAAATCCGACACCGAACTTGCGCCCCTTTTCCATAAAAAAAAGGAAAGACGTCCCAAGCTCCTATGATTTTCTTATCTTTCTCCGCCCATTGCATCTCTGGCTTTCCTCTCTCGAGGATATTAATAAGCCGAGAAGCTGCGTATTCTTCATTAAGAAGCCGGCGTCGCCATAATAAGAGAGGGAGAGGGGACCTCATCCAAGGCGTGTTTACCTTTCAGTTGAAAGGAGTTTTTACGTGAACATTGTAAGGTTTACATAAATGGCGAGGCGCTTGTTCCAAGCGGTGGAGTGGCTTAATTGTAGCTCACTCTCTTTTACCATAATCCGAGGCTCCACAAAGGCTCAACGGCGAGTAACCATTGAGTATAGTCTAGCAACTGTAAAGAGCTACTCACATCACCAACAAAATTGTATTGCCTCTGGCTTCATAGGCAGAAAAATCAGCAAAGAGATGTTTTCTAATCCTAGAAGAGTGAGATAGATGTATTATTTTTTTTTAATTGGATAGTACTAAGACGAGAACACCTTTACTTCAAAAGAGCTTAAGCAAATATTGAAGCAAAACATGTGAACAATATTTTTTTTTTTTTTGGAATTTTCGTTATGGTCCGTTGGCTTATTGAAAATCGCTGTAAAAAAATGTTAAATTCCAATAAACTCAATACTCACCATATTTTATCACGAAATTAAGCTTTTTTGTAAGTCCCCTAAACTTGAAAAAACGTGAAAGCTCGAAACTTGAAAAAACATAAGTTAAGCATTTTTTTAGAATTTCATTAAACAAAGTCGAAGCAGTCGAGGCTTATGGTGCTTTTTCCAGTTTAAGAGAATACACTTTTTCTGCGTAAGTATGTGTATTTTTTAATATCGAGTCTTTATTTATTTAGTTTCTTTTTTCACTTCGCTAGAATTGGAAATTTCTGTTCAAACTCCAAACGGACGTTGAAGATCTGGCGATTCAGTTTTTTTTTTTGCCTATTCTCTTTGATAATTATTGTTGGTTTTCATTATATAGTTAAATATATGTATTTGTATGTATATAATTTAAGTATTTATGTATATAAATTTTTTGCAGTATTGTTTTTTTTCACTTTGCATTTATTATGAATTTTCATTTATTTCATTTTTCGACAACAACAATAATAATAAGTAGTTTTTATATGTATAGTATTTTTATACACCTAACTCTTTTCAACTTATGATTACTTACATAACTTCACCGTTTTATTTTTCCACCAATTGAATCCTTTGGCGTTCTTGGATAACTTTACAAAATTTTGCTAATATTTTTTTTAGTGCTTTGTATTTGCTGCTTGTTTGCTGTTTTTGGGGGCTGAATTATTTGAAAAATTGAATTAAGCAGAACGAACGAATATTTAGTAGTGAATATATGTATGCGTTTTTGGAATTACGCCTTTACAGAGCTGGAAGTTGAAAAATATTAAAAAAAAATCTGAATTGCGAGCGAAAACTGGAAAGTATTTCCATTTGCAGTCTTTTCTATATATTTTTGTAAACAAACATTTTTTTTCTCGTGCTATGGTTAAGTTTAGAATATTCAATTTTTTCCTCTAACTATCCCCAAAAGCTGCTATTCCTTGTATAGTATTATGATTTTTCGCTGTATTAGTTTGTTTCTTTTTAACTTGAGTTTTTTCTTCGGCTTTATTCTTTATCTATTGAATAGGTAGTTGCATATTAACATACATACATACATACATACATTGTTTTTATTTTAACATTATTTATTGCATTCGATTTTGATTTAATTGAGTTCATTTTAAAATATCTATTTACTTTTTATACCGTTTAAATTAGTCTATACAGTGATTCATACAAGTGTTCACATCTTTTTTTTTCATTCACAACGTTTTGCAAGTAAACTTTTTTTTTTGTTATTTTTTTTTTTATAAAAATACTGTAGTTACTTAAACAAAAAACAGTTTAAAGCTTTATAAAAAATTTTAAAAAGCCAAAAAATTTTAATCAAAATTTCGAAATTTTGAGTTTGAATTTTTAGAACATTTTTGGGTGTGCCGTTTATAAAAAAAAGTTTTTTTTTTTAAATTTTTTGCAAACTGTCTTGCGCTTTTTTTCCATAAAAAATTGCAAAAATCCGTCAACATTTTTTTTTTTGTAAATCAACGTGATTTTTTTCGTAGCCGCTTGAAACTTTCACTTTATTCTACTAAATACTATAAAACTGCATACACAAGAACTGTTCTAAATATTCATATTAAAAATATTGATATTTTTTTTTTTCTAAATTTTTTTTAAGTTTTGGACTTTGATTTCTACATTTATTTTTGGTTGAAGCATGCACTGTATTTTTATAAAAAAGAACAAAAAAAAAAAGAAAAAAAACAAAAAAATCCTCATGTGAGCACTAGTTTGAGTCACTGTATGCTTGCAAGTAATATCCTGCAATTGTTGCCCGCTTCTTGTGATTTCGTTACAATTTAACACTCAATAATTTGCTTTATTTATTGTTTAATTTTTTTTTGTAATTAAAAAAACATTGACTTTACACTTTAGGTCCTTTACGTTTGTCTTTTAGACGATTTGTTTTTTTACATTTCCATAGAACTGCATGACTTTTTCAACTTACTTTTACTTCCATATAATTAATTTAGTTTATTTCTAAGTTCAAACATTAAAATATCAGTCGACGGTTCAAATATTTTCACACAGAGGTTGTTGCTGCCTGCCTACATGCTGGGCCGAAGAGAGTGCTCCAAAGTTCGAAAAAACGCATCAAATTGTGGGTGCATTCCAAAACGTCAAAAATACAAAGCATCAGTCTCTTTTATTTCTGAACCGCGCAAACTAGTTTAAAACTAGAATCTAACCTTGGTTGCGTACATTTGGCATTGCAATTTACAGAAGTTTAGAAATAAAGGAGACTGATTCTTTGTATTTTGACGTTTTGGAATGCACCCCGTTTCTTTCAACTCGTTTTTTCGAGAACTTAAACTCTTCAGCAAAAGGGCGAGCGTGAGCAACCTAAGTTTAACTGCTAGTATGTATTTGCATTAAACTTGAATTTTTCAGCTAAATTTAGAAAATGATTGTTTTTTTTTTCTTGACACTTGAACATTAGTCCACAGCGCAATCAACAGTTGTTTTTTTAATTAAATTTTATATATTTGTATTATAAAATATATTTACTTAAAATACCGTTGCTCCACACTCATGCAACA